CATTCTTGGCAGCTTCAGTGTAAATAACCAACATCATATCAACAGCTAAAAATGAGTACTCTAGAGCAATGCAAGGTAAGCAACTAGGCAATGGTTCCGGGTAATTAGTTCCAGATTGGGAGCTTGATTCCATGTGGCGACTGATTGCTCTCTTTCTCCTTATCCTGCATGTGAGAACAAGGACAAAGGAAAGGACATGGAGATTGTATAATATGAGATACTCTTGCTCTCGTCCCTGATGATATGAGATACTCTTGCTATGGTGTGACTTGTTTGAAGAGGTATTCTCGAAGATGAAGAAAACTGAGTATTTCGAGATGTTTTGTTGAAGATGCATTCTCGGAGATGAGGAAAAGTTAGGTATTCTTACAGGTATGCCTTGTTATGGAGAACGGATGTCGACATATATCGAGATTTCCCAATAGCAAGTAGTGGTGTTGTGCCTTTACTCTTGTCAGCAACTGTGGTGTAATTAGAACAGTAAGACTTATGCGTCTTCAACTTTGTCAGAAATCTTTGACAAAGTTGCACATGATATCTGAAAAGCTGAGATTGCGCCTGTTTGATCCAGGAAATCAGGCTTTTGAAATTTGGAGAGCGGTGCCTTTTCGATCTCCGAACAAGTGGCTCTGTTGCCTCTTCTTTTTATAGAGGCATCAATTGTGCTCAAAATGTATGTTCGGAAAACTGCTGCATGTAGAATTTTCCCCTTCTTGCATTTTTGAGATTTTATCTGACCTCATTTTTCTTCATCATTTCTGAAAATGGCTTGCCCATTTAACATTTGCTTAGATTAGAGTCTTAAGAGTGATACAGACGAGCAGCGTTAGGATAATATATGACACTCGTCCTTCTTATCTTTTAATGGTCCTCTTACTGTTAGGGACTCTGTGATGAAGAATAATATAAGCGCTACAGTGGTAGCTAGGAATCGCCAAGTTGAATCATTGATAGCTGAGGTGGCAAGTCTTAAACAAGAGATCAGAGGGCTCAAGCACGAGAATAAAGTGTTACACATGTTTACAAATAATTACTTAACAAGCATGAAAAGAAAACTTGACCAGCTGCTGGAATTCGAAAGTCGGAATCAAAGTGACAATCAGAGGTTCGAGGCTTTATTCTAATGGCACATACTGCCTTCATCATCTAGAGTTTTACTAATTATAGAGGCTCCAAATAATCAACCTCTGGTGCCTCCCTTTTCTGGGGTACTTCCGAGCACTGAGGCGTCACATAAGCAATCTTTGTGAAGGCTCCATCCTGTTTGTTTTAACTCATGTGTATGTACATGTCTGTAATTTCTCTGAGATATCAATAAATAAGCTTTATTTCATTCAATGTATTATGCTAAATACAATAAAGCATATACTTCACTAAGATGGGGTACTTCTGGACCAAATATCATTTATCTTTACCCTCGCAAAGATAAATGATCATTCTTAGTGTTTAAATCAGTTAAGTATTCAACTCATAATCTTCAATCCATATGATTCTTTAATATCATAAACATCATGGATAAAATTCGTGTTGGTAGATTGTTTGATCTGCAGTTCGAGATAATATTTCTCTCAACACTTTATAATCTTTCTAAACTTTTCAGGAGTCCCAATCTAATGTCATCGACTCTCGCAAGATATATTAGTATGTTGCACAATATCATAATGATAGTACTCACTAAGGCAATTTATACTATCCAATGACATTGAGTACATAATTTATGTTTTACCTTTTCAGGGCTTTCTTCAAGCAATTTGAATCCTTCAGGGATTTTCTACACTTTATGACACATTTTCATTTGAAATTTATGCAGAGCAATTTGCTCTCATGTATTCTTAAGGGATTTACTTATGGAGATATGATGTGGGTGGCGTACAACCCTTCGTATATAATTCTCCATTCATATGAACTCCTTTACAGCCTTGTATCATAACATGTGAGTGTATTTTACGGTATTACAAATGCTCATATGTAACCTTCTAGGTTCAACATCTTTTGGCTATTTGTATTGTATTCAAGTATATAGGTCTATTTTTCCACGTTTTTACAAAATTGTAATGGAATTGCCTTTCTTCATTTTGGCCGATAATTTTGTTGACGAAAAAAGAACAGGATTCAATATCAACACAGCTCATTGATGAATTTAGTAGCTACTTGTAAAAACCAACATTACCATTGGTTATCATCAATCTGTGATCCCATATTCTCATGTGCATGCGCATGTATAAAAGTTTTTTATTTCTTTGGATATTCATTGCCTCTTCAAGGGCATTATATTATCTTTTCTAGGATAGTCATAATTTAAAGAATGTAAATCATAATCTCCTCTTAAGTGTTATAGAGCTTGAATTTTAATCTCCACTTCGGGAGTTGAGTCATTGGAACCTATACGTCTATCATGCTTTATGCATGAGACATCAACATTCACATGTCTGCGGATTATCCCTTCTGAGATGTGTATCCATGCGGCAACTATCATGCTTCCGACATGTAACAGTTATGCTACGGGAATGCAATAGTTCAGTAGTGTCATACTCTTCTTCTTTTGAATGACTGAACATTTTTAGTCTAAGGGTCTGCCATGCTTCAGGCATGCAACAAATAAATCATTTACTGCATCATTATTTTTTTTTTCAACAGGGACATCAATTCTTGTAGGCACATTTGCAGCAAGTATATGTGATTTCATCACTTTCGTTGCATCATTAATCATTCTCACTTCATTTTTCTCATTGATTGTTTCATGAATCAAAATAAGACAAATTCTCTTCATTCTTCTGGAACGGTCTTTTCTCATCATTCTTCTGGAATGATATTTTCTCATTGTTCTTCTGGAACGATGTTATTTTCTCCCCCTAACGGCGAGAAAATTGTCTTATCAAAATGATAGTTCGCAAACCACGCGGTAAACATATCCCTAGTCAAGGGTTTTAAATATTGAATGATAGATGGTGTTCAACATCAATGCCCAATCCGCGATGATGCCTCATTTTAGTACGTTGTGACAGTGCAATAGGCACATAAATAACACCACCAAAAACTTGTAAATGTATAATATTTGGCTGGTGCCCAAACACAAGTTGCACTGAGAAGTATTGATGGTTGGCAACAGGTCTCAACCGAACTAATACTGCATCATGCAAGCATTTACTCATGTAAAAACTATCAATTTTGTTTTCATGAGCAGAGCGCGGGTAATCAATTTCATCTGCTTAATAAATGCTTCTGCTAAACCATTTTGAGTATGGATATAAGGAACGTCTGGTGTGGACTAAGACTCTTCTGGCCTTTGTTACAGTTAAGTTAAGGCACTACAGCACTTCAAACTTACTATACTTATTAAGGAACTTCATGTCCTGATATGAGGATCAAGGGACTTCATGCCCAATCTTTTTGTATGATGGAACTTCAGGTCCAATTATTTTTATATGATGAGGATCAAGAAACTGCAGGTTCTTATCTGATCAAGGAACTTTGGGTCCTTGTTATACTCATCATAACAAAATATAAGTAAAATAAATAAATTAAAGTAATAGGCTGTAATTCCAGCCATAGTGACTAAATTGCATTTAAGTAAATAAAGTTTATGACAAGGGCCTTAATTCAGCAACATGCACATAAATCAAAACTTAAAGCAGTAGGCAGTAATACTGTTCATGATAAATAAATTGCTTTAAAGTAAATAGAATTTGTGAAAGGGTTTTAAACCAACACCAATTCACATAAATAAGAAGAAGTATCAGAGCTCTTTTTATTTATTATTTTTCTTTCTTTTATCAGCACTTATTCAAACCTTGTTATTATTACTTTTCTTATTTCTGTAGCATGGTGTCATGCACCAATAGAAACCTTTATATTTGTTTTATTTATTTATTTATTATTTTGACCAAATGGTGCCGTGGACCATTCAAATCCCTTTATATTTTATTATTATTATTTTTCTTAGGGTGCAGTCAACACCACACATTTCCAAACATTTTTTTCTTTTTTCTTTTTTTTCACATGTGCCTTAACATTCCATCAATCCTCATTTTCTATTATTTTTCTTCCTTCTTTATCAGTCTCAAAACGCAGGGCCAGTTGGGTTGTTGTGGAGGTTGCCCAAATTCAATTCAATCCAAAAGGTTACCAGAGACTGGCGTTGTTCTTGCATAACCCAGGGAACATGGCATCACAAAGCAAGAACCTGCATACAAAGACATAGATGACAGCGGGGTTGATGGAGGCACAAGAGATGCAGGTCTATGTGGAGTCAGTCCTGCCATCAGCATCTCAGACAACTGAGGATTCATGGGAGTCCTCGAGATCCATTGAAAACAACGCGATCTGGGTTTCTAAGTTTGATGAAATTTTTCTAGATCTCTGGAAACTAGTTGTCAAGTATGAGTTTTCTCATCTCGTGACGACTGCAGGTCGTTGTAAATTTCAATTCTCACCGGAATTTGGTGGGGCGCTTCTAGTGCAGTTGAAGAGACAGAAAATGGACATAACTTTTTTTTTCTGTGAGATTTTAGCTGACGGAGGTGAGAGGTAGAAAGTGCTTTCACCGGATTTATGGCGTTGTGCTTTCCACTGACATGAGAGCTTCTCGTGCTGATAACGTGTTGTAAAATCGACGGTGTGTGTAGTAGAGTAAATAAAACAAGACACAAAATTTACAAGGTTCCTCTACAGTCAGTGTGACTGGAGTACATCCTTGGAGAAGCAGTGATGCTTTCATTATAATTTAGAATAATAGGAGCACAAAATAACTCTCTCTGTTATCTCCTATCATCTTCCTCTCTTTTTCTCTCTTCCTCTTCGTGAACTTATTACTTTGATATTGTGTGGAGTTTGTATTTTATAGAAAATAGAAGTCATATAAGGCAAGCTTCGGCAAACAGTGGAATGACCCATTATTTTATTCTTTGAGTGGACATCCACTGTTCTACAACAATATGCACATTTTAGTGTATATCTAATCGTAAATGTAGGAGCTAAAATATAAGCGCAAAAGAGAGAAGTAGCAGAAAAAGAAATTTCATTGTCCATGAACTCTTTTACTTAATTAACATATTAAAGAAATTTATATTTACATGTAAAACTTTACACCACATAAGAAACAAGCATGCAATAGATCTAGTTGGATGTGGTATGAAAAGAGAGAGGAAGAGAGAAGAAGAAGCAAAGAGAAAAATTTTGGTTGGCAACGAACGAGTGCTGTTGTTGGCGAGTGCTGTGGTGAGTTTGATTGATGTTGGCTAATGAGATCCGACGTTATTGTCACCGTAGTCGTCACCACCATCCCCACAACTATCGGTGCAACCATCCTCACCACTATCGTTGTTTTCTATGCCATAACATCCATATTCTCATGACCATAAGTACTACCATGAACCCCCAATGACATTGTTATTGCCACCATCATTCCGATCATATCCACCATCAACAGTCACCACCACCTCCCACAACCATCACCACCGCCAATGCCACAACCACAATTGCTACCACCTTATCACTAGTAGACACTCTACCGCCACTGACACATCTATCAACCACTCCATGGCGACCACTCTCACCACACATCTATTAACCTCTACCACTAATTCCTACTTTTATATCCATCATCCAAACACAGGTAATTAAAAGATTGACTAAACAAAAAAAATTTAGTATAAAAAATTTACATATTTCGACCTGAGACCCAACTTCAAGTTGGACTTTGTCAAAAATTTAGAGATTGAGAGTTCAAATATCATCTAATTAAACATCTAATTCATCTAGGCACCAACTGCTTAGTTAAGTTAGAGGGTCCTATAATGGCTCTTCCATAGGCCACAGGCAATGATACAAACTTCTTTGCTTTTCCCACATAAGCCCTTTTTGTGAAATTGTCATAACCATTTGCTTCAATTGCATCTAGAATCTGCCTATACAGCAACAAAGATGCCCATACTGGCCATCTACTAGCTGAGTTGAGCTCTGAGACACCCTTCTCAGCCTCATCAAAGAACATCCTAGCTCTCTTTATTTGTCCCTTCATGAAACTTTGCCACTTGTCAGTCACCTTCCCGTTAAAGATGTCATTGTCTGATAGGCCGGCTTGGGCAAGCTCATCTTGGGGGAGATATACTCTTCCTCTCCTAGCACTAAAATGATCAATTCAAAGAGCAAATTTTAGTTAGACATGAACAATAACCATATTATTTTGGTGTGCAACATTGTCTTGCCAAATAAATACTTATGTTATCAGACTGTGAATCTCGACCACATTCAAGAAAAGGCTAGACTAATCAATGGTTCATACTCATAGTCGTGCAACACGAGTTTCTAAACATGGAATGCTTAAAATGACTCGTTTATTATAAGTAGAAACTTACTCTTCTCCAACATCTCTGAGAATGTTAGTGAGCTGATTAGCAATTCCAAGGGCCAATGCAGCATTGTAAACGCTTTCTGTTGAGGCCTTTGATTCTGGGCATATCCCCATTACCGGAACACTCATCAATCCAACAGTTCCAGCAACATAGTAGCAGTAAAGGTAAAGTTCATCAAAGTTCTGGTATCTTGACTTCCTCAAGTCTAATCTCATTCCTTCTACCATGTCTCTGAAGGGCTGTCAAAAAAAAAACAAAATTTGTATGGTGAATCATTCCGTACTTTCAAATTTCGATAGATAAAAGAGAGTTAATATCTGATTGTGAGCATGCGGTATTTGTACCTGAATGTCAACAGGGTACTTGGTGACAGTATCAGATAGAGCAGCATCATACATATCGTAAGGTCGGCCTTCAAAGAGATCAGTCAGTCTTTTCTCCCATCTGTCAAGAGCTTTGGGTGTAATGTATGAAGCATTAGGTCCATCCACTAGTTCATCTGTCCTTCTGCACCACACTGCAATAAAAATAAAGAAGCGCTCTTCATTTAGTATTTACCATTCCAAATCATTAAATAATCTCTGAGCCCAAAGATTATCCACAATTTGTTCCCTCATTTGCAATCTTTACAATGAAAATTGAGCCAAGTAGATGTTAATGCAGGAAAAAAATGCTTTTTCCAAAAGGGATTTGTTGCCTCAGTTGTAAAGAGCATGTAGAAATCAGTTTTAAGTAGACTAAATTTGCAACGTTAGGCACAGATTATGTGACTGTACTAACCATAGATTGCCCAAACAGCTCGTCGCCGCTCCGGTGTCATGAGTAATGTGCCTGAAAACACATAGAAAGAAGTTGATAAGTACAGTTTCTTGCCAATTAATGGAACATCCAATTCAAGTAAAAAAAGGAAAGAAAAACGATTCCAAGTTTTCTTGCCTGCAATAATAGTTAGAAAACTAGAATTAATCTAATTGCCCCCAAATTTCCAATCCATTTCTCCATTTCCCTTTACTTACACTGCATGTAATGAAAATTAGAATTAGTCTTAGCTTCCGTGTGCTTACTAAAACATGAGTGTTGGTATTAATCCAATTGCCAACTCTTTTTGTGTTTACTAACATATGTAATCACAAAAAGTGTAGATTCCATATTAAAATCCGTAATTCAATACTTGAAAAATCAGAACGGATCAATTAGATTAACTATATTTCCTCCTCTCTTCCCATGACTTCCAATTAAGTATTGAGTGAATGATAATATAAACTACTTAAGACTCACGTGTGAACGTTTTAGAAGTAAAAAGTGATCCAAGATGTGCACTTAACTGCTTGAACAATAAAAAATGGAAACAAAATCAAGTGCTCTGTCCACTTTATTAAAATAGTGTACTTAATTAGTATATTCTATGTCCACGAAAATGACTGGATCCCATTAAAAAAAAAAAAGATAAACAGATAAACAGACAGCAAGAACACACCACAGAAACAGATCGAGGAAGGAGGAGCAGCAGAAATCCAGAAAAGTTTCTTACCCAGGTAAAAAGTCTTGGCATACTCAGCACAGACTTCACCACACCGATCATAAGCCTTATCCAGTAAATCCCAGTTGTCCAAACCTTCAGTCACAATCCGTTCATCCAAATCCAAAGATTTCCTTTTTACCGTGCTCTGTTCTTTCACCAGCGCAGCCTGCTTCAGCACCACTTGATACACCTTCTCTTCTGCAGATCTTGCTGGGTTTACAACTGCACCCGAGTAGGCCAAAACCCTACTTGAAAATCCCAGCTTTGGGCAGAATTTAGACCTCCTTGGGGTGCAAATTCTGGGCATCAGACCCAGCAGGGAGCTGGCATTCTCTTTGGGGCTCACCACCCAAAGAAGAACACCTGACATATCAAAAGAACAATTAATCTGTTGGGTTTTAGGTTTTGAGTGTGAGGGTGTGAGGGTGTGAGGTGTGAGTATGTGAGCTGTGAGGTTGTGGCTTCTCTTATGGAGATTGGAGGGTAAGGCAAAAGTTTTGAAGGCAGTGGTAGTTGGCAAATGTGTGCCTAGTAGTTTTTGCGTAACGACTGCGATATATATACATATAATTATAGGTTCCAAGGTTAATGACGACGTTAGTGCATGTACTGAGAGAAGAAAAGTTATGGTCTTTGTCAAACTAGCCAAGTTCAAGGAATATGCTTTGCCATTTGCATAGCTGGTAACATGGAAATATGTGGACAGCGTTTGTATAAATGACTTGTGTGTGTAAATATTTTTATTTTTCCTTCTTGTTTTTTTTTGGTTGAGAATACGTTAGTTGTTTGCCAGGGTGGATGAAGAAGAGTGACGGTTCAGAATAATTTATATGAGCACGAGATGTTCGGAGAGTATCGAAATGTTTTATGTCCTATTTTGTAACTGACCTTTAGAATATTCATTTTTGTAAAAGGAAGTGTTATTAGGCACTTCAAAAATCTTATTCTACACTTCTTACAAGTATATTTTTCTTTCTAAATATAAAAAGTTTGGAGTGTAGAATAAGAAATTTAGAGTGCCAATAGTAATTCCTTTTGTAAATTATGTAGAGAAAATTGTTCGCTCAAATGACAACTTTCTGAGAACTATTCACCTGAGTGACAATTTTGAGATAGTTGTTCACAACACGACAATTTTAAGGGCCATTGTAAGTCTAGTACCTACTATACATGTTGAGAAAAATGACTATGAACGGGGTTATTACATGAACATTTTAGCGAAGTTCAGGAATAATTGTTCAATTGTAAGTCGTAACACAAAAACAAAACTGCTCCTCATACAATTCTATTCAAATAATCAACCAAAAAATACATTTAAGGGAAAATTGTAGTAATTGTTCCTTAACTTTAACCCAATTGGAACAATGGTCCCTCAACTAAAAACTCATGACCATTGGTCCCTTAACTCTTCAAAACGTGCAGCTATGATCTTTTTTATCAACTCTATCATAATTCTGTCAAAATAACTCATGTTGGAAGGATCGTTGCTACAATTGAGTTAAAGTTGAGGGACCATTGCTACAATTTTTCTCATTTGGTTATTCATATTTGCTATTAGTTCAGCCTCACGTGCGTGGCACGCGACTCATTTTGATGGAAGTTTTAACAGAATTAACGAAAATGACCATGCCTACATGTTTTGATGAATTAAGGGACCAATAGTCATAGATTTTTTAGTTGAGGGATCATTGTTCAAATTGAGTTAAAGTTGAGAGACCATTACTATAATTTCCTCAACATTTAATAATACATAATATTAAAAAGGGCAGATCAGTGACACAATTTTTTACATGCATTTTGTAGGGTCCACTTTGTAATATATTTCAACATCCGAACTATCTATATTTTAGAACATTATCTATTGATCATCCTTGCAAAAAATTAGACAAATCCAAAACTATTACTACTTTAATTTGCAACGAAGGAAAAGGACATACGCGGTTTTGTAAAGAAACACTAAAATTAATCCAACCGTCATATGGTTTCGGATTTAGGTGATTTTTTGTACACATGATATTTAAGAGAAGACCTAAAAACTAAACAATTCAGTTCGTTGAAATACATTACAAAATGAGTTCTTACAAAAATGTGTATAAAAATTATATAAAATAAATAGTGTCACGAATCAGGCCCCTTATAAAATTGTGAAAGGATTATTGTTGATTTCTTTTGCAAGAATGTCTCCTCATTACATTAGCTAGAGGGTCATTGTCACTTTTATTGGAAAATGAGAGATCACTTTTATTAATTACAAACAAACTACGTAAATATTTTGAACTTCAAAAAAATACTTAAACCGTTACTCACCGGACAAAACTACAAAACTTATTTAGTTCCACTTGAATGTAAAACCAAACAATTAACTAATTGTCAATGATCTTTGCATTTCGAGAAAGATTATCCGTCCTACTTGCTATATAAATATTGTTTTCACAATATAAATAAAAGATATGTGGGGTTCGATCTGAATAAAAGATAAGATTTTACATTTTATATAAACAATATAATCGAGTCCTTCTCTCTTGTTTTGGTGAACACAGATCTTTCTCATTTTTATATTCAGAGACTTCTCAGTTTATACTTAAGTCTTTCTCTTTAGTAAGTGACAACTACCAACAAGATTGCAATCTAGCTAAAGAAAGGAAGTGAATGTCGCTGGAAATTTTATGTGCCAAAGTTTGATTCCTTTGAAGGGAAAAAAAAAAAAAAAACTGATTCCTTCAAGTATTTTGCAATCTCGTGACTGGTGAGTAAGATGCCCTCGCTTTCAACTAGTCTAAATTGGAAGAAGAACTTACGGTTGGAGTTGTATCATAAAAGCTAATTTAGTGATTGGATGCTATATAACAATTCCATTTCAAATAATTAATAAAGGGTAGTGCTATCCACATACTCATTTTTACTTCTCATACATCCCTCTTAATTTACGATCGTCTGATCGAATGAATTGAAGGAAATCACCAGCCAGAAATTAATAAGGGTATGTGGGAGATAAAAATGAGTGTGCGGATAGCATTATCCGTAATAAAAGGACAAGTTTTATTCATTCATGAGTTTGACTTATGTACAAGTGGTGGATATACAAGCGCTTGTTTGTTGAATAAGTTCACTGAACACTGACTACCGAAGAGGCGTAAACGTATGGATGTATATCACATAAGGGTTACAAGGCTTCAAGTTGTAACATAAAAATAGTTTTAGACCTAAGGTATCATCGGATACAATATGCTTATAAATATGAACTTTGATTTCAACTGAAATCCATCAATGCTTTGCAGAGCCCGTTAGTGTGTTGCTTGGGTTCATGTGTATAAGTATGAAGATAGATGAATACGCAGTAAGGAATATATCACCTTCTGGTAATTGTTCAATAGGAGGAGATATCCTTTGAAGCCACTTGAAGATCCATCTCAGAAATTTCAGCCAAAGTGCTTGTTGATCAAACTATGTTTGTAAGAATTGATTCATCGTGCAATGCATCATGGTGATCATTAACAGTAATATGTGATTTGACATTATTCATATCACAAAATCTTTGATTGGGATATTGATGATAGAAGAATCTAATTGCATTGTAACTACAATCGAGGCTTGAAAGACTACCGTGATTAGTTCATGTCTAAAACTATCTAATCCGAGTAGCCATGGAATGCTTATAGGTGTTACTCGTGGCTTGTGGAATTAAATTTATTAATTTATTAATCTCACTATCGGCTTTAGTTAAAACCTAAGAGGTCAACACTTATGATAGTACTAACGACATTACATGGATGATGATATGATATCATTAAGAATTATATTGGATTTAATTATTTCGGCCTATTGAACAAGTTTTAATTAAAATGAGTTTGGAGCTTCTTTTTTTTTTCTTTCCAAAAGATAGAAATTTTGATTAAACTCGAATCAAAACATTTACATTGGATGCTAGAGTGCTGAACAATCATTCTGATTCAAACTTATTCCAACTATGAAGCCACCTCCCTTAAACACAAAAGATGTCACTAGATGCGCTGCCATATTACAAACACAGGGAGCAAAACGAAATTCTACTGACCTAATTTGTTGTAATTGTCTAATATCAAATAGGATACCTTTAATCATTACCTCCGGTTGCAAAGTACCATTAATCATCCTCATAAGATTCTTTGAGTCAGATTCAACCTTTACATCAAAAATTCCGTTCTCCACAGAAGCTACAAGGGCCGCCCTGACAGCATCCACTTCCTCCATCAAACTTGATGCGCAAGGGTATTTTCCGATCCCACCTGCTGCACGAAAAAGGATCCGAGTCACAAGCCCAAGTGGACTTAAGTGATGGACTTGGCACAAGGAGTAGGATTCCTTGGCATTAAGCCGACCAAAAGGTACAGCTGGGTAATTATAAATACCCATGTGTGTCTCTTATGTTCTTGCGGTCATTTTTGCCCCTCAGAGAAAATACAGAAACCTAGCCAAAAACACCCTAGTGTGCCACACAAACTATTCCAAGAGAGAGATTTTGCTAGCACAATCAAATCTCTCACTCCATCATTTGTCGTTGATGTATCAGTGTCGATACTCCTGGAAGTTCAACATTTGAAGAGTTTAACGTGATCGACCATAAAGAGGAAAATCACATGCACAACAATAAACCTATAAAGTGACATAAACAATATGACTAAGGAATCTTGTAAGTTGTACGTAATTCTCTTCGTCATATTTCTTGCTTAATCGATTACAAGCTACCAAATATATAATTGAAATACCGTATTGTATATTATTTATTATTTCTCATTACATATTTAATTGTTGGAATTAAATTTATTTCATTAATATGCCCAAAAGCCCCACGCTTATTTACATAGAGTACCGCACTGTGTGACCAAAAACATAATATTATATATTTTAAATTTCTCATTAATAATGCCTATTTAATTTAAAATATACCAATCACAGTAACATAACGGACATAAATGAGCCTCCCCCCCCCCCTCTCTCTCTCTCTCTCTCTCTCTCTCTCCCCCCCCCCCCCCAAGTAGGGAAAGGGGCCGTCACACTTTCTGAAGGCATTCGCGTTTCCATGCACAAGTACTACTTGTGTGAAGTGTTGTATCATTGTATTTATGTGTACATAGTAATTGTCTTGTGGTGTCGATTTGTCCCCCTCCCCACTGTTTCAACAATTATAAGCAGTTGAGGCTAGTTAGTAACTCAAACCCTTGTGAGTTACAACTTAGTCCCCCTTCTGTATTGTAGGAATTAGGAAGACATAAAATGTGATGGTCTACCTGGCTAACTTCACTCCTTTGTACCATTAAGAGGTAGCTAGCTAGTTGGTATACTCATTCTTCATTACTATAATACCCTAGTATTAGAACAAATTCTAAAATTTTGGATATTCGGTTGCTGTATAATGATGTTTTATTGGAAATTTTATTTATTTATTCGTCATACTCATCATTCTGCAATACGATATTGTGATCAAAGTTGTGCATTTTGAAATCTTCTTTAAGAATCATGTTTAGTATAAAAAATCAACCAATTTTTAGATTTTTGGCTATACGATTACCATAATTAATTTTAATATTT